AGGCTGATAATGTGAAAGCTTCTGCAGCTGTTTTGTTGTCAACGGAGCAGCTTATCAGAGGGGAAAAGGGCAATCAGAAGGCTGAGGTTGAAAAACCAAGTGAACCCATTTCTCCTACCTCCGAATCTGTCAAGACTCAAGGGTTAGGTGTTAAGAATTGGGGAGAAGCTGAGGGGGAAATTGGAGATGACTGCGGTTTTGAATCTCCTTCTGTCAAAGTTGTGAAAAAGTCTCCTTGCAAGCAGGCGAAAGCGTCTAAAGTTGAGAAATTCATATTGTTGAGTGATGAAAGTGTTGCTGCTAATGATGGTTGTGCCAAGACTGTGAAGGTATTACACTTTATTAAGTTTTCTAATTATTTGTACTTATGGTGTGGTTACTAATGAACTTGTTTTGTTTTTATGTTTTTGAACAATAAAGGGGCGAAAGGGAGGTGGACTACGTAGTGTATCTAAATTGAAGCCTAGTTTGTATGTGGTCTCTCCATTCGAACATGCAAATCCCAGAGCTAAGAAAGGACAACCTTTGTACCGTGCTCCTCCCTTTGTTGTTCAGACACCATTGACTCTGGAGGCAGTAAAGATGATTCAATTTGCTTTTAGTAGTTCGCTTCCCGAAAGGTACCTCCCGAAATCATTACAAGTAAGATTGGATCATATCTGTAGGAAATTTTTGGTATTTGCCTTATTCTAATGTTGTGGTGTTTGAACTTGGTCTTGTATAACAGGGACGTATTGGTTCGTCTTGATGGCGGGGCTCTTGAGTTGTTACGTGAAGATTTGGTCGAGTTTTTGCCCAGGACCAAAATTTCAACAAGGGTGAGTTCCTTTATGTGTGTAATTTAGTAGATTAAACTTGTATTGCTGACTTTGGTATATGTGATGATGATGCATTAGATTATAGAAATGGCATGTCTGTGCAAGACACTAGAAGAACGAAGTTGCGGTCGCAGTGGTGGCGTGTCTTGGTTCTTTCCACCTTCAGTTTCGGTACAGTTGTCTGCTTTGTCTATTCTTGTCATGAAATTAATCTATTTGTTTGTTACATGTAGCTTGTGTGGGTAACTGTGTTTTATTTTTCTAGGATCGTGCGTATCATTGCAAAAACGAGGAGCAATTTATGGAAAACATGCGTTCATATAAGATACTTGAGCGATACCGTATAAGTGAGCTACTTTACTGCAGTAAGGTATGTTGTAATGTTGTTTTCTAAAAGGAAATGGCTTCACACTCCTATGTTAAATTGATAATTATTGTTTGTTTGTGCATTATTTCAGATTCATGTCCCAATTTTCAACCTCACGGTGTCCCACTTCTATCTGGCGGTCTTTAACATGGAAGCCAAAGAAATTGAAATCTGGGACTCAATACCAGGAATTCATAACCTAGAATATGATGCAAGGATGCATAAACTGGTTTGCTTCTTGTTCTTCAAGTTTTCAAACTTGACTTATTGCTTAGTTGTTAGTCGTTTTTCATTTGCCGTCTTTGTCGTTAAATATCGATGAGGGGGATGTTTTCATTTGCAGAAATTGGGTCTAGACTGGTTGCTTAAGGATGATATCTGCGGGATGTTTTCATTTGTGGACTTTGTGGTTAGATATCGCCGGGATGTTGCTTGCCAACCAAATGGGTACCCTTTGTTGTTGTTCAATCGTGCACTGTTCTAATTAAGTTCGATAATTATTTGTTCGCATCATGACCATGGTAATTATTTGTTATATTACAGGTTTGATTGTGGACTATTTGTCTCCAATTACTTGCTGGATCCAGATCGATATTCCAAGAAGCTTGACCAGTTCGACAGTGACTATGAACGGGCACAACTTACAATGTACTTGCTCACGACGCATTTGAATGAGGTGAAAGCTACAATTACGACACAATCAGAAGAATATTTTGACAGTCATGTGAGACCTGCCCAAATTGAGACTGAGAAGGTGAATTTCAAGACGAACTTACTCAATCGAGGAAGAAAGCCGTTGCACGCGCATGGGGAGAAAAAGGGTAGAAAGTCTAAGAAGCATTGAGAGTTGTGATGTTAATGTAGAGTTTAGTTAATGTGGATGTTTTTTTGAAGTTTAGGAAAATGTAGATGTTGAATGAATTTTACTGAATGTAGATGCTGATTGAAGTTTAGGAAACTGTTGAAATTACAATGAAGTTATGAATGAAGCATTATTCAGTGATGTTATCTTTTCTCTATATTATGTTTAATGTGTCCACAAGGAAGAAGTTATAAATGATCATATAACGAAAAATGGTTGAAAATGGACCTTATTCACCCTGCCAGCAGGCTTTTTCACGGCCTCAATAATTCATTTTCACGGCCGTGAGATGGTAATTTCTCAGTGTCTCTGATGCAGGATGAATCTTTCACGCCCGTGAGACTGGGACGTGAGATGGGATTTCTGTGACACCTTAATGATGGCAATCTCACGCCCGTGAGACTGGGCCGTGAGAATCAACAAATCATTCCCTAATGTCCAGAGAACCTCACGGTCTTGAGAGAACAATCTCACAATCTCACACCCGTGAGATTGTGGGCTGCTGTGAGTTAGTGAAAAAAACGTCATTTGGAAGGTTCGAACCCGAGCACTTGGCATAATAATTCAGCTCACTAACCAGTCAGACTACTTAACATATTTTGTAAAATTGATTGTCCGTTTCCCTTTTAGTACATATGGTTGAATGAGCGTTTGATTATCGGTTTTTGGTTCAACCCATGTAATTGTAAACCGATGTGAGATTGAGTTTAGGTAAATGGTTGAATGAGCGTTTGATTATCGGTTTTGGGTTCAACCCATGTAATTGTAAACCGATGTGAGATTGATGTTAGGTATATGGTTGAATGAGCGTTTGGTTATCAATTTTGGGTTGAACCCATGTAATTGTGAACCGATGTGAGATTGATGTTAGGTATATGGTTGAATGAGCGTTTGATTATCGGTTTTGGGTACAACCCCTGTAATTGTGAACCGATGTGAGATTGATGTTAGGTATATGGTTGAATGAGTGTTTGGTTATCGGTTTTGGGTTGAACCCATGTAATTGTGGCCCGATGTGAGATTGATGTTAGGTATATGGTTGAATGAGTGTTTGATTATCGGTTTTGGGTTCAACCCCTGTAATTGTGAACCGATGTGAGATTGATGTTTGGTATATGGTTGAATGAGCGTTTGGTTATCGGTTTTGGGTTGAACCCATGTAATTGTGGCCCAATGTGAGATTGATGTTAGGTATATGGTTGAATGAGTGTTTGATTATCGGTTTTGGGTTCAACCCCTGTAATTGTGAACCGATGTGAGATTGAGGTTATGTATATGGTTGAATGAGCATTTGGTTATCAGTTTTGGGTTGAACCCATGTAATTGTGAACCGATGTGAGATTGAGGTTATGTATATGGTTGAATGAGTGTTTGATTATCGGTTTTGGGTTCAACCCCTGTAATTGTAAACCGATGTGAGATTGAGGTTCGGTATATGGTTGATTGAGCGTTTGGTTATCGGTTTTGGGTTGAACCCATGTAATTGTGGCCCGATGTGAGATTGGTTGATGATATATGGTTTAGTGAGTGTTTGATTACGGTTATTGGGTTGAACCCCATGTAATTGTAAACCGATGTGAGATTGAGGTTAGGTATATGGTTGAATGAGTGTTTGGTTATCAGTTTTGGGTTGAACCCATGTAATTGTGAACCGATGTGAGATTGGTTGATGATATATGGTTTAGTGAGTGTTTGATTACGGTTTTTGGGTTGAACCCCATGTAATTGTGAACCGATGTGAGATTGGTTGATGATATATGGTTTAGTGAGTGTTTGATTACGGTTTTTGGGTTGAACTCCATGTAATTGTGAACCGATGTGAGATTGGTTGATGATATATGGTTTAGTGAGTGTTTGATTACGGTTTTTGGGTTGAAGTCCATGTAATTGTGAACCGATGTGAGATTGGTTGGTGATATATTGTTGAATGAGTGTTTGATTATCGGTTTTGGGTTCAACCCCTGTAATTGTAAACCGATGTGAGATTGAGGTTAGGTATATGGTTGAATGAGCGTTTGGTTATCAGTTTTGGGTTGAACCCATGTAATTGTAAACCGATGGTTTAGTGAGATTGGTTGGTGATATATGGTTTAGTGAGTATTTGATTATGGTTATTGGGTTCAACCCATGTAATTGTAAACCGATGAATTTTTGGGTCGGTCATAATGAAGAAATTCCTAGTTCCTAAACCCTCACCGTCGTGATGCCGTTTCTTCCTTCTCCTCCTTTGTCGGCGCCAGAGGACTGATCCTCGGTTCCTCCCTGTCGACTTCTTCCTTCCTGATTCCCTCCTTAGTCGGCTCTTATCCACCAATATTACGAAACCATCGATTTCTTCCTTCCTGCTTCCCTCCCTGTCGATTTCTTCCTTCCTGCTTCCTATCTCCCTTCCTTCGTCTTCCCTTCTCTACGCAACCATCGATTTTCCATTCTCCTTTATTCGCCCATCCTTCGTCAGCCACCGAAGACCCGCAGACCGCTCTCCATCACTCTCCGTCAAGTACGATAACCTCTTCTCCTGCTTTACCTGTGTGTTTTGCGCTTCTAGTAGCCTCAGATTTCGAGTTTGAGTCTTGCGAATTTAGGGTTCCACGGGGTTTTTTGGGAAATTGTTGGTTTTCGTCCAGATTTGTGCGGTTCTAGTTGCTTCATTTTCGATTTCTATTTGCACTCACGGGTTCTCTTGGGAAACTTATGGGTTTCGCCGGACTTTGGGTTCTTTTGAGAAATCAGGGACTTATGGGTTCTTCTTGGTATGGAGTACGGTTTAGGCTATGGTTTCTTTCATTTGTGAATGGTTGGTTTGTCGCAGAAGTGAAGGGGAAACTATGGTTGCTTAACTCGGTCTTGCCTCGTGTTTGTTTCAATTCATTCGGTCGGTTGTGGGTGGTGAATATGTAGATTTCAATTGTCTCTAAACTTCATTTTGTTGCTTATTTTCAGTTGATCAACTATGGAAGGGTTGATGGATGATATGAGCACAGGCAAGGACACGGGAATTGACTTGAATGTTGGTTTAGATTGGGGAATGGATTATGGAGATGATACCGGTGGTGTTAGAGATAGTGACGATATGGAGGACAATGTCGACACCACTGATAGTGATTATGAGGATGATAATAACACTAACTTTGGTGATGATGATAAAGAGAACATCTCAGATGAGCATTTGCACAGCTTCGAAACACAGCCACACAGCTCAGATGCACCTCTACACAAAGATGCTGCAAATCCAGCCATGGCTCCACCGTACTCGAGTATGTATGACTGGACCTTGCTTGATAAAGTCGGGAATGGTAAGCCATATTCTAAATGGGAGTCGGATGATGTTTTGGGTTATGAGTTTGAAACCCTTGTGGAGGCTGCCAAGTTCTATTCAACTTATGGTTGTGCCATGGGATTCAGCGTACGGAAGAACACTCACACATTTTCAAAATATGGAGTTAAAAATATGCAGCGATGGGTTTGCTCACGCGAGGGGGAGCGTCAACCAGTGCACAATGACAAGGAGAACAGAAAGCGTGAACCTAGGCCTGTAACAAGGCTCCATTGTCTGGCAGCTTTCAAAGTCAGTTTTGTTGAGGCAACTAACCGATTCAAGGTGAAACAGTTTATACCAACACATTTTCATCACTTAGCTGGAGCACATGAAGTGCAGTTTTTGAGTTCTCATCGCAAGATGACGCAAGTAAGGCTCAGATTCGATCACTTAGGGCTGCTGGTATTCGCACCAATCAAATAATGGATTATCTAGTGAATTGTGCGAGAAGCTTTCAGAACTTGGGTTTCACTAAGACCGATGTCTACAATTTTGTTAGTGCGGATCGGAGGTCGGAGATCTTGGATAGTGATAGTGAAGCTGCACTTGCCTACTTACAAGCACGAGCAACTACCGATCCTCGTTTTTATTGTAGATATACAGTAAGTGATGGTGGTGAACTAGGCAATATGTTATGGGCTGACTCTTCTTCACAATTGGATTATAGTCTCTTTGGAGATGTTCTTGTTTTTGACTCGACGTACAAAACTAATGCATATAATCTTCCATTTCTTCTATTCATTGGTGTGAATAATCACAATGCAAGCACTGTTTTTGTATGTGCTTTACTTGCGGATGAAACGGCGGAGAACTACGTATGGATTCTAAATGCTTTTTTACATTGCATGGGTGGTAAGAAGCCAACCGCAGTTATAACAGATGGTTGTTCTTCAATGAGGAAAGCTATCAAGTCAGTTCTCCCTGGATCCCGACATCGGTTATGTTCTTGGCACTTGGGCAATAACGCAGAAGCGCGTGGCCATGCGGAAGGCTTCCGGGAGGATTTCAAACGATGCATGCTAAACTGCAGTTCTATTCCACAATTTGAAGCTACGTGGAAGGAAATTTTGTCCAAGTATGACCTGGAGCACAATGCGTGGATGAAGAAGATGTATAGGCGACGAGCTCTATGGGCCACAACTTACTTGAAAGGTATTTTCTTTGCTGGGATGACTACGTCACAACGTTGTGAGAGCATGAACTCTTATCTAGACAAATTCTTGCAAAGTAAGATGAAGTTGTTTGAGTTTGTCAAGCAGTTTGACATGGCACTTTTGTATAGGAGACAAACTGAGTTACATGACCAGTTTAAGACAATACATACTGATGTTGTTTTGATGACACATTTACATGAAATTGAAAGACATGCCTCTATAGTATATACAAGAAATGTGTTCAGGAGCGTTCGAGCAGAAATAGCGAGAGAAGTTCATTACTATATTACAGACAAGTGTGTGTTGACCAATAAAACAATTTACACATTGTCACTATTCAAATACCCTGACTCAAAGTGCACTGTGGTCTTTTACACGAGTGGACATGATGTGCATTGTTCTTGTGGCATTTTTGAGTTCTGCGGAATTCAATGTCGGCATATATTCTGTATATTGAAAGCAGAAAATCAAATACAAATTCCAAAGTCACTCATTTTGAAGCGTTGGACTAAAGATGCAAAAGAGTTCGATCCCTCGAGTATGGGAAGCTGTCCTACCCAGCAAAATATTAGCAGGTATTATAAATTTAAGCTGTTGATTTAGTTCTTTGTTTACTTCTATTGTGCTAGGAACCAACTACCAAATTGCTTGTTTATTTGGACAGGTTTGGATTCTTGGTTGGTCAATGTAGTAGAATGTGCCATTATGCTGTGAGTTCGGATGAAGCATTTCATACTGCCAAAGGGTTGATTGAAGACTTGACCTTGCGAGTGAAGACAATAAGTGAAGAAACAACCAACAAAACAAATAATGCTACTACGGATGCTGGAGTGAACTCCTCTCAGTTTATTAAGGACCCCCATCCAGTTCGAAGTAAAGGGAATGTGAAGCAACCTCAAGTGAAAACACGGTTGTGCAAGTATTGTAGGCGTCCTAAACATACAATCAGAAATTGTCCGCTGAAAAGAATGGCTGAAGCAGGTGCAGGTGATAGTCATTTCACGCAACAAGAATACAACTTCGAGTCCATAGGAGCAGGTGAAAGCAGCTTTCATGTGGAGACTCAAGAATCTGTTCTACTTCCCAAACGATCCAAGCACAACCTGTAAAGCTGGTGTTCGGCTTCAAACAACATTATGTTTCATCTTGTCATGTTTGTTTTGTGCAAGTTAGTATCTAGTGACATTGAATGGATCTATGTAATGCTTGTGTCTAGCTTCAAAGAACATTATGACTCATCTTTTCATAAGCTTGTAGTTTTCAAAAACAGTATATTATGTTTCTTACACCATTATAATAAGTACAGGGGTTAGTTCTACATGTGAATGTCTGTGCAGGCCAATTCCAGAAATCTCACGGCCGTGAAAGCATGCGTGTTTTTGAAATAATAGACTTCTCACGGCTCATATGTTAATCTCACGGGCGTGAGATTAACCCGTGAGATGGTCACAGCTGAAACCAAAAAACACGCCTCACACCTTCAGATCTCACGGCCGAGAGATGGACCGTTCGAATGTTTTTTAAAAAGGGGGAGTTCCAGCGGGTTTCACGGGTTGGTTCGACAGTATCACGGCCGTGAGATGAGCCGTGATTGTGTAATTGAAATGATAGACTTCTCACGGCTCATATGTTAATCTCACGGGCGTGAGATTAACCCGTGAGATGTTCACAGCTGAAAACCAAAAAACACGCCTCACACTTTCAGATCTCACGGCCGAGAGATGGACCGTTAGAATGTTTTTTAAAAAGGGGGAGTTCCAGGGGGTTTCACGGTTTATATCACGCCCGGGACAAAAACCGTGAGATGGAACCCTCAAATTGGAAACACCTTATTTAAAACTACCTATTTTCTACTCGACCCGACCCCCAACCCTCTGTTCTACTTCGACCCCCAACCCTCTGTTCTACTTCGACCCCCCAAGCCTCGCCATCGCACCCTCGCCATCGCCCCCAACCATCTTCTCCCCCGACCCCCAACCATCTACTCCCTCTGTTCTACTTCGACCCCCCAAGCCTCGCCCTCACTCGCTCGCCATCGCCCTCGATCGGTCGCACTCGCTCGCTCGCCCTCGAAGATTCTTCCGCCGCCGACCACTTCCCCACGACTCCTCTGGTAACTGCTCCAAGGTTCAGCGGCGACGGCGACCATTTCCCCACGAGTCTCTGCCCTCTGTTCCACTTTGTGAGTTCTTCTTAACCACAGCGGCAATCTTCTCTGGTTTCTTGCATTTTTTAGGGTTTAGTTGCCCAAGGTTGGTCTGAATTAGGGTTTTGAATTCCTAATTGTGATTAGAATGCTCCTGGTTGGTCTGAATTAGGGTTTTGAATTCCTAATTGTGATTAGAATGCTCCTGGTTGGTCTGAATTAGGGTTTTGAATTCCTAATTGTGATTAGAATGCTCCTGAGTGGTCAGTTCCTTATCATCCCTTCCCCACTCATTCTGCTCTTTTCAACTCTTTATGATTTGCTTAAGCCATGCGATTGGATCTGAGATTTTTCGCTGGTACGCTGGTAGTCTGTTGATTATGTTTAGGTAATGAGGAGCTGAAGCTGGTATAAGCTGTAGCCTGTACTGTCTTTGGTACCGCTAGGGTTGTAATTGGTAATGCGAGGCTGTTGCTGCTTTCTATTATCTCCAGCAATTGGTTTGTGTAGAGCATTGACATGGTTCTGACTGATCATGATGGTGTAGACGTGATTGAAATGCTCCAGGGATCATCTACCTTGACGTCACATTGAGTATTCCACCTCATCGATCTCTAAGGAAGGAAGCAAGGAGAACAAACTTTCCTAGCTCGATACAATCCTTGGACAAGGAATGCAACAAAGAGATGGAGATCGAAATACAGAGAGTGATTGAAATACAGAGAGATCGAAATACATAGAGAGAGGTTTTGAGTGGGAGGGATGCAAAACCCCTGACCAAGGTTGCATCTAGCTAGGAAAGTTTGATCTGTCCGGTATCACCCCAGCTCCAAGGGGAGTTACAAACGTGGAGATCGAAGAGGATGGAATACTCAAAGAGACGTCAAGGGAGAAGTCTGTAAGTCTATATCTTCCAGTATCTTTTCATAAGCTTGTAGTTTTCACAAACAGTATATTATGTTATTGTTCTGTTTATAGGGTTTTGAATTCCTAATTGTGATTAGAATGCTCCTGGGATTAGAATGCTCCTGGTTGGTCTGAATTAGGGTTTTGAATTCCTAATTGTGATTAGAATGCTCCTGGGATTAGAATGCTCCTGGTTTGTTGCATTTTTTTAGGGTGTAGACGTCTCTTTGTGAATTGCATATGCTTATGCATAATTCTTTTCCCTCTCATTCACTAAAGACTTAATGTGCTTAGTTGGTTTTTGTAGGAATGGGGAAAGCTAAACAAAAAACCACGCAACCATCAGCCTCACCTGCTAAAGTGAAGGCTACTTATCGTCGTCGCCGCCAAACCCAAGAACGAGACACTCCCCCCAAATGACAACGCAAAAACAACCAAGGACGAGCACGTCAACCATCTCCACCACCACAAACGGAGGCTTAACTTGGAGGAGGGGGACTTCACGGCTTCCTCCAATTACCCGACAAACATAGGAGGGCTTTAGAGCGCTTCCTTCCCCTCCCATTTGGGCAGCAAAGATGCATTGATTGGGATCTCCTAGAGCGCCTCGGAGCAGCGGACCCCGTTCGCACATGCCTCCGTCTCCCGGCATGGTGTGAGGTTCTCTCCATCAATGAGGTCATCTACCGAGAGCTTACCATTGAGTTCCTCAGCACTCTCTCCATCAAGTTTATGTGCGAATTTCACCTCGACAAGCCCGAAGACAACATAACTTTTCGCCTTGGAGGACAGGCGAGACAGATGAGCATCACTGAGTTCACAGAGGCACTCCAGATATACCCACCAGGATTTCTCACTACAGGTCATGGTTTGATTTCAGAGAAAGTATATTCACCAAGAGCACAATGGGTCGATGCTATGTGGAAAAGGGTAAAACAAAACCATGTGGACAAGTCTGACACTGCCCACTATAAAGGGAATGATCTTCTTCCCCCATGGCGTATCATCCACAACATTATCGCTCATTCTGTGGCAGCTAGGGAGGGGAGCCCGGGGAGTGTAACCAAGCGGGATTTGAACTTTTTCCTCTCTATGGTAAAAGATCCCCCAATTCATCTTGGTTTAGTCATACTGAAAACCCTACAGAAGATGACCTCCAACAAACAAATCAAGACCATCCATGGAGGTGCCTACATCACAAGGCTAGCTCGGCATTT